AGCATCTATAATAGCTGGCCAAGCCAAGGAATGACCTGACCTCGAATATGTTCTTAGGCTCTGGGAATTCCTGAATGGCTTTTATTTTCTCTGGGTCTGTGGTAGCCCCGTTATTGGTGACTATGAACCCTAAAAAGCTGACGCTTTTCTTGAAAAATCGTGACTTTTCTGTTGATACCCTCATATTTGCATCGTGTAGGCTCTTGAGAACCCAATCCACGTGCCGGATGTGGGAGTTTTCGTCCTCCGAAAAGACGATAACATCATCAACATAGACATAGCAAAATTTGCCAATCTGCTCTCGCAGTATGTCATCAATTGTTCTTTGGAAAATGCTGGCTGCATTTTTTAATCCAAATGGCATTCTACGAAACTCGTACTTTCCTCCGTTAACGGAAAAGGAAGTTTTTTCACGGTCGCATTCTGCCAGCGTGATCTGATGATATCCGGACTTCAAGTCCAGTGTTGTAAAATACTTGGCCTTGCCTAAGTTTCCTAATATCATCGAGATGTTCGGCATGGGGTATCGATCGGGTATTGTTTTCTCGTTTAGTTTGCGAAAATCCAATACCAAACGCATTTTTCGCCTGCCAGTTTCGTCGGTGCCCTTTTTGTCTACAACCCATATTGGGTTATTGTATGGGGATTTCGACTTTTGGATGATGCCATTTTTAAGCAGATCTTGGATTTCGCCATTTACAAAATCAGCTGCCCCCATTGGATATGGGTAAAGTTTGGCATAAATGGGCGTCTCATCAATGGTTCTGATGGTGGCAACCACCGACGTGTTGTAGGACAAGGCCTCATTGGGGTCTGCGAAGGTTTTTTTCCTGTCGCTGAGCATTTTTAAAAATGCTTTTCTGACCAAAGGTGGTGCATCTGAGCAGTCCACCTCAGTAAAATTTACATCGGGACATGTATGAAAGTCGATGCTCTCTACTTCCGTGCCCCATTTGAGCTGACCGGAGGCCAAACAAAGTGACACCCCTGCCTGTTTTAAAAGGTCAAGTCCGATGATTCCATCGAAAGAGGACAAATCTGGTAAAAGGAAGAATGTGGCTTTTAAGTTGAAAATTGACACGAAGCATTTCTTCGTGATATTGGTGACTCCATGGATCGAATGAGCTTTGAATGGAGCTTCTACCGGGCGGACACCTTTCAAACCTTCATATGGTCGGATGAAATTTTTGGACGCGCCCGTATCAACTAGAAATCTCATGTCAATCCCCGCTACTCTTCGTCTGATGACGGGTAGCAGGGATCTTCCCCTAAAAAATTTATGGCATCCGAGTCGTACTCGTTGATAGCGTCATCATCGATTTCTTGTGCCGCGCTAGAGGCCGCTGCGGTGTACGTGTCACCAGTTTTGTCAGCGCTCTGGGCAATGTAGTTTACTCTTTGCCTTTTTTGTGGGTTGGTTTTATCGGACGCCGCCGGCTTCCTGTTCTGGTATGCCGGGGCTTGTGATGGTTTAAGCATTCTAGCCAATGATGGATCCACTTCCATGGGTTCTGGAGTGTCTCCCTGGTGCCTCTCGCTGCGTAGAGCAGGGTGCACCTGTGCCTTGTGCTGCTTAGTGAAATGGGGATTTTTACCGCCACTATATTGGGAATTAGCCTGAGCGGTGGCCTGCTGACGCTCTTGCGCCTTAGGAAATTGTTTTTTCTCCCTATCCTCCTGGCTTTTTGCAAATGACGACGCAAAGGTGTACCTATCATGGTTCGCCTCGACCTCTTGAGCCAAGGCAAGTGCTGATGGCATGTCCTTGGGCTTCGCCGCGAAGAGGACGTCAGTGAGGCTGCGTTTTAACCCAGAGATAAATACGCGAAGGGCATCATCCCGGAATTTTTCGCATAAAACTTGTGCAGCGGAGGCTTCATATGTCATGGTCGCCTTGTTGGTGAGGAGGGTGAGCTTCCTTTCAACCTCATCATAATATTGTAGAAGCGAGAGACTCCCCTGTCTGAGGGTGCCCATCTCCTGCTCTATGACATGCATTGTCCGCTTGTCACTATAAGTAAAGTCGAGTCGATTTATAATCGCTTCGAAATTAAGCACTGTGCCAAATGAGGATAGCACTGCATCGGCCGGGCCCCTTATTTTGCTCCTAATTATAATAACTGCCTGATAATGGCGTGAACTTCCTACGAAATCTTTAAAAATATAGTATGCGCCTACTGCCGCCTGCCGCCAGGAGACGTATGTTTCCTGGGCACCCGAAAATTCGGGCAGGCATTTGACGGCGTCTAGTGGCTCATTACAAATGACGGCGTTATTAATGTCTATGGGTGCATAAACTTTAATCTGAGGAGTTACTGTTGGGGCGGGTGCGACCTGCATCGCCGCCACCTGGTTGGCTAGTTGTTGGATAGTCTGGCGCAATTCATTTTCCCTGCGCTGGCTGTCCTGTAGGGCATGGTTGACGGCAGCCTCTACTACCGCCTTTATTTGGTCTGGGTTAAATGCCATGTTTCTGTCTGAGGGAGTGCCGACGCTTACACTTTTCGGTGTAGAAGTTCTTGCCGGCCCTTCGGTCTCGGATTCAGAGTCACTGGGGACCTGCTTGCTGTTCCTATATTGTTGGAATGGGTTGCTCATATGGAGCTGTGCAAGCTAAATCGGCCCAGCGATTTAATGCATGCCCAAGCGGTCTTGCCCACGGATATGGCGAGGGGGCCGCGGGGGCTGAGATGCCGCTCGGTAACAATGGACGAGAGCTCGTTGGAAAACTGAGCTGTTGCCTTGCCAAGCAGTGACAAGGGGAAGGGGATCGCGGGGACTGGGTCTCCGCTATGGCAAACGAAAATATAAACAACAAAAATTGACACAGTAAAGATTCGTGGTGGCTAAGCTGCCGTTCTGAAAGACAAAGAAGCGAAGCTAAACAAAGTCGGAACACAAACGTCGCGGTGTCAAGTTCGAGTGTCGTAGTGGAGTGGGTAAGCGATGGAAACAAAAACAAACCCAAGACTGTTGCGAAGCTAACACAAAGAATTTCGGTGTAAGCAAAAAGACGACTACATATAAGGGGTAAATTAAATGCACAAATTTAAATGAGACAGTATCCGTCGCCAATAAAAATATATCAATAAATGCACAATTAATAAATTTATTTCCCGGCGGCGCCTTTGCGTCCAGGCTGGGTATTAAATATTAAATATGTAAATATATGTAAATATATTAATTATGTAATCTGGTAGTTATATTGGCGATAATATTCGGCACCGAGATATTTATTGAAAGAATTTTAAAAAATGCAAACAATGAAAAACACAAATAATGTCACTTGTGATTACAGCAATAAAATTGTCAACCAATTAGTGAGTATGTTTATTTGACACAAATTTATAGAAGCGGAGCCGCAGAAAATATTCTGGCCGCGGTTTATTTTTATTTATCAAAAGTTACACAATGCAGATGAAGAAGGGTATGAATTGAATTGCTCACTTACATAATCCCTCCTATACCGCTGTGGGTACTTTTACGTTGAGCGCCAATTAAATAATTAATTAATCCGTGTGCCGGCTGGCCGTCCGTCTGTAGAGGGGGTGAAGCTGGCTGGCAGAACGTCTGTAGCAGGAGGTCGGTTGACCGTAGTTGTAGCTGGTAATATCAGCCGCTGTGTGTGTTGTAGTTGGCCGGTTGGCCTGCGTCATCAACAGTAAATATATGACGATTAGGTTGAGAGGGTAACTGCCCTCTTTTAGCCCGCTGGCCTAGAGACTCAGACTGGGTGTAATTTCAATAAATCAAATACGGCGATGGCCGGAGTTTCAATTCGTGAGCGTTAGCTCTTTATTCTTTCAAATCAAAATGAGAACTAAACTTAAAGCTAACATAAAAAGGGACTCATAGCGGCCACTCCAATGGGTAGTGCTTGCCGGCTATGCACGGGCTTCCGGCCAGACGCTGTGTCAGCAATTTGGCCGGAGCGAGCTTTCGGACGATCGGTCATTGCCGTCGCCCGGTTAACTTACTTAGTTAACTTACATACATACTTTACTTCACTTTATTTTGCAGGCGAGTCGAGCTCAAATCCTGAAAAAGACCACCGAATGCATACAGACAATGAGGCGGAAGATCAGTGATAACCAGAAGGACATTGAGGAGATCAGAAAACAAAACTTTATACTAGATCAGCAGAGTAGGTCCCGTATAATCTTCTTTTGAACTTATTTACGATTTTGTTTACTACCCAGTTCGAGCCTTGGAAAGTCCGAATGGTGACTCCCTCGCCGAATTTCTCAGCGACGAGGAACTGGAGAGCGAGGAGGCCGAAGATGACCTCGACCAGCCAGACTTCAGCAGACGCAATAAGAAGATGAAGACCTTCCACGCATAGCCGCTTTGCCAGTCCCAAATGCTGCATAGAGGCACGTGCCGGTTTTCACATTCAACGACAATTTGTAATACTTTTCGCTTTAAGTTTACCTTAGAGTTGTGTTATCCAAGAGCAATAGCCCCCCAAAGTTGTGAAGAAATCGCTTCCAAATTCAAATCAGTTTAAACTCGATCAAATTTAGTGGAAAGGAAAACTAACAAGTCCGATAATCATAATCATCATTAGCTGTAAGTCTATAATGTAACCCACCCAATCGACCTTAATTTGTATGCGTGTGTCTTTTGTACTTTGAGCAAAAAATCACTCTCGCTAAACAGTAAAAAATGTAAGTAAATATTTTAGAAAAAAGCAAAACAAATTTTCTATGGAACTTGGTTTGGGAAAGCTTTTTATCATATTCACCCAGAATGACTTTTGCCCTCTAATGATAGCGAAGCTATATTTTAAGGCTTATCACCTAAAAGTGATTGATATGGTTAGTTTTTTTAAAGACTACAAATTTAATATTTTAAAAACTTAACCCTGCTCTTAAATCATTTAGCTCAAAGCTCTACCTCACGTTAGGGAATTCTTAATTAAATCAGTTGTTTTTTAAGATTTAGCAGTAACTTTGAGAACCTGACTGCAAACTTATACAGAAAGTGGTCACGGGTTTGACTCAAATTCAGAATAATTCTTTTTCATATTTAGTTTCCTTCTGTCCTTTGGAGCTGCTTTACAATCTTGGGCTTAATCAAAAAACAACTAATCAAAATGTGGACATTCCAGAAAAAGTTCAACTATCTACCCTAAACAATACAAATCAGTTGGTATATATTTTACAAAAATTAGCAACAACTACTTGAACTTGAGGGTCAGCCAGAGGATGAAGAAAACGAAGAGGACGAAGAGAAACATGTAGCACATCTGGCGGGCACCACCGCCCTGCTTGGCCAGTCGCATCACTCGCGTCATCGTGTTGCCCAGGAACCCACTTGTGCGGTCCATGTCGTCGTCGATCCCGCGCAGCAGCTTGTCCTGGTAGCGCACCTCATTGCCTATGTCGATGGTGAGGGACTTTAGGGCCCCGATCTTCTGTTTCAGCTCCTCCGCCGCCTGTTCGTTCTCCGCCTCCAGGGAATCGTGACTCGCCGCAGGATGGGATCCCGATGGCTGCTGGTTCAGGGGCTGATATGGGTAGTTGTTGCGGCGCATACTGCTCCCCGTGTGTGCCAGATTGGCATCCGGATTGCTGAGGATAGGGAATATGTAACAAAAATCAGTTCCAAAGCCAGGAATCTCAGAGTCCCATTCAAGTGACACGTAAACGTAAACATGGAATCTCACCCAGCGGCAGAACAGCTGTTGTGGCTTTTGTTTCTTGAGTCAACCTCTGTGGCTGACTGCGCATTGACCCTTGACCTGCCTTCGTCGGAATTCCCAGAAGCGGCTGACTAATGCTCCAATTAAGTTAATGAAACTTTTTAAAATCTAATGCAATTTGGTTGGTCGCCGAGCAGTGTGACCAAAGCGGAGGATCGGCCAAAAGCCGTAGTAATTTAACTCGGTTTTACGATATTCGTTTAACCCATTACTTGCCCTTACTTTTTCTTAAATCGCATCAGTCCACGGTACGGATATTTTATAACTTTTCTGTAAGCTTGTGCCAATTTGTTTATTTTTCGCTTTTAATAAACATTCGTTTACTTTTTTAATTCTACTTGTCTCAATAACTTTCATTATAAAAATGTTCTGTAATTGACCAGTTTTTCTTTTAACTTCCGTTTCTATTACGTCTGTGCCTAAACCTGGTAATATTTACACTTAAAAAACACAATTGTAAATTATCATCAGCAAACATCCATTTTTTTCTTGGCTTGCAACAGTGGGTTAATCCTCGTGACTATTACTGTTAGGATTAGGTGTTTGGGCATTTTCAGTGCACCCGCCAACGGCCATACTGCTCCAGTGTTAGTAATTATTTAGGTAATTTTGGCCAACAATTCAGCTTGCCGCTCTCGTTTGTTGCTCCCATTCGCTTTTATGACCTGACCGTGAAATCAATAGATATCAAATATTTAAATCAGTTCGGTGGCAAGTGCGTCATCATCAAATCCATCGGATCGCCGAGATGATTCGACCTCTGAATTCGCATTTTCATTGACCCTGACCAAGTGCACTCGTTTGTTGTTGTTGTGTTGCTCATTGCTTAATCTACCCCACCCCCCTCGATGATCAAAAGACAATCAGTTTGCGTAATAAGCCACTATTACAACAACAATAACAACAATTGCGCGTGATAAGGACTCAAACCCAATGAACCAGCGCACCACGCGAACAAAGTTACTGATAAGCCCTGCAACTCTTTTCCCAGATTTAGCATGACGGAATACACGGAGGTCGTGCCCCACAATGGCCTGATGGATGGATTCGCCTGGGGGGTTGGGGTCCCCGTGGAGGCCCTCCGATTGCTCCTGACCATCGTGGCCGGTAAGCTAATATATCTATTTGATTTTAAGGTATATTTTTTGGTCTTTCACATCGAAAGATTGAGTTAAAATATACCGAAAAAGATATGTATCTAGGTTGTATGTATGCACAGGTGTTAATACATATAATGTGGGTTTGGTTAACTTTTGGTAACTTATTTTCATTTAGATGATTTTAAAATTTGTTGGAGCTTAAAAAATCTCAATACGGTTGAAGCTTAAAAATATTTTAATATTCCAAAAAGAAATAATATTTTAACCAATCAACAAACACCAAAAAATGTTAAAATAAATATGCTCAACATACTAAATGATAAACTATAAATTAAAATAATTTCATAAAAATATTAAATACTCAATCTATTAGTAACCATACACTTTATGTCTCCTTCCAGGCTATCCCTTGGCAGCGTTCTATCAAAAGTTTATAGCCGTCATTGCCGATAAGACCGTGCATCACATGTTCTTTGCCGGATGCGGCGCTGGGTTGTGTTACTTTAACTACGGCCGCGACACATATCACTCCCTGGTGGCCATTCTGACCACCTATTCCCTGGTACTCCTCCTGCGCAAGAAAGCACAAATATTCCTGGCCATAAACTTTGTATTCCACATGACTTATCTGCTGCTTGGCTATTTCTACACCTCCAGCAATGAATACGATATTCTGTGGACGATGCCCCACTGCATTTTGGTACTCCGAATGATTGGCTACGGCTTTGACATCACCGACGGACTGAAAGAGGAATCGCAGTTGTCAAAGGAGCAGAAGGAAACAGCTCTTAAGGAACCCCCGTCGCTCCTGGAACTCTTGGCCTTTGCCTATTTCCCCAGTGGCTTTTTGGTGGGACCACAATTTCCCTTTAGCCGCTATCAGGCCTTCGTCAACGGCCAATTCCGTCAGCACGAGGGGAGCTTGGAGGCTGGCGTGCGCCGGTTTGCAGCCGGCGCCTTCTACCTGATCGTGTGTCAAGTGGGTCTGAGATATCTCCCCGATTCGTACTTCCTGACCCCGGAGTTTGCGGAAGTTCCCTTTATCAAGAGGATCTATTTCCTGGGCTTCTGGGCCAAATTCAGCCTGTACAAGTACATATCATGCTGGATGCTCACAGAGGGAGCACTCATCTGCATTGGCTTAACGTACAAAGGAGAGGACAAGAACGGACAACCCGATTGGTCGGGCTGCAGCAATGTGAAGCTAAAGCTCCTGGAGACGGGGAACACGATGGAACACTACGTGCAAAGCTTCAATGTGAACACGAATCAGTGGGTGGGACAGTACATCTACAAGCGGCTGAAGTTCCTCAACAATCGGACGATCAGCTATGGCGCTGCTTTGGGTTTCTTGGCCATCTGGCACGGATACCACAGCGGATACTACGTGACCTTCCTCATGGAATACATGGTCGTGAGCACCGAAAAGCAAGTGAGTGGTCAGAGTAGATTAATATATGAAGCTAATTGTGTTCTGGAGGGTTAAAGCAAAATTGTAATTGTAATCGAAATTTGTTAAAAATATTATTACATATGTATGTGATATTTATACTTTCCAAAACAAAAAGCTTTCGGGTGTATTTGAGACCTGGCTCACCTTACCGAAGGTAATTTAAATAATTTTTTATTACCTTATTAGGCAATTCCGAGCCCAAGTGCCTCTAAAGCTTTTATGAAGTGATTAATTTTTCGCAAATGGCTTATAATTGGTGGCATATAAATGTTAAGCAAAGCTTATATTAATAAGAATCCGAAAATAATTATTCTTTCTGTACTTTCAGATAACCCACTTTTACACCAAAGTGGTGTTGCCCAAGTGGGGCCACATCCTCAACAACTCGGACATTTACAAACTGCTGTACTTCATCACTATGAAATCGTATAACGTTGTTTACATGGGTTGGTGTCTCACCGCATTTGTGTTTCTGAAATACGAGCGTTGGATAGTGGTTTACGGAGCGGTTAACTACTACGGATTCACGGTTCTGATCGTCTGGGCTGTCTTCTACCACACTTATAATCACCTTTTCCGGATCAGCTCTCGAAAAGAAGCTGGTGAGGACAAAAGTACGGAAAAGCTCACAGAGGAAAAGAAGCCAGAAGACAAAAAGTCTGAGTAGGGAAAAGATTGGAGGAAATCACCGGCAGGAAGTTCTCAAAATTTTAGTTTTGCCTTGACAATTGTTTGGAATTGGTATTAATCAAAGAATCGAGTTGTTTTTACTAACCAAATAAGAAGTTTTACCAAATAATATGCCACTGTAACTAGAGATTTGTTAACTAGCTATTGGAATGCAACTTTATACATATATATCGTCTGCCTAGTCAAGGAGGAGTCATCCCCAAGTATGCAATGTGATTTTTGGCGATAAGATACTGTCTTATCTGGCCGAAAAACACATTGTCAGTCTTATATATATTATGGAATTGTAAATTGTATAAGTGTTAAAACCCGTTTAGTTTAACTAGAAACTAGACAGATCACACATAAGACTTTAAGGAGACCAGGGTCTTTGAAAATCAAACCACTTCTGTAACAGATTTCTTGTATTTGAAAGGGGAGCATCCGAGGAGACTTAAGCCACAAAGACAGTTTTATACTAATGCAAAGATGATTTAGAGATATATTTTGATATGCTCACGCTAAGTGCAAATTTGATGAATGGAAATGCGAAATAAATGCAATGAAATTATTTTTATATACAAAGCAAGCATTTACTGGGCATGGAATTTAAATGGGGGAAGTGGCTATCGTATTTCGACGTCTTGCTTGATGCGTGCACTTCGAACTTTTCTAGTTTATATGCAAGAATTGTTTTAATATTCAGGGATCGTCATGTATTTAATTGAATATAAAAGAAAACGCAATATTTGGCTGAAACTTTTCAATGACAGGTCCGATTCCAATATTTTTTGGCATTTAGATGAGTATTGATAGTAAGAACACAGTAGAAGGGTTTTAGTGTTATGGTCGTTTGTGGCCGTGGCACCCTGCATGCCAACTCCCATTATTCTAGCCCTTATAGTTTCCGAGATCTCTGCGTTTATACGAAAAGACGGACATGGCTAGATCGACTCGGTTAGTAATCCTGATCAATAATATTTATACCTTGTGATATTTTAAACAAATTGTTATATTTCCTATAGAAAGCCATATCCAACTTGCACATATTTCGTTCAAATAATGGATAAGCCGACACTTAAGCCCAATATCAAATTTAATTTGTGCTACAAGGACATATTTTTAAACTGGTTAATATTTTTGTTTAGTCCTGCAAAACATTCTTATAGTTATTTTCTGTCTCTGGCTGCTAAGCTTTGCTGAATCCATAAATTTTACGTTTAATATTTTACGAATTTGTATGTTAATTTTTTTAAATTACAATCGTGATAAACAATGCAATTAAAGGCATTTGAATAATCGTAGATACAAGGAAACTTATTTATTGATCATAAAATAGTCATGAGAATGTACTGGGAGGTTGCTCGGGATGATCTGGGCTCTAATGCTCCATGGGCTGGGCATCGCCTCCGCCGCCCTCCACACGACGCTTTGCTCCGCCTCCAGAAGCAGGTTCTTTTTCCAGCTCCTCTGTGATCTCGCTGAACATGTAGTCGTCCTGATACTCCTTCAGGATCTTGCTCGAACGATTCTCGTCCAGGAACAGCGAGTACACCTTCTTCACATCCTCGGTATTGACTTCGGTGGCCTTGCGACGACGACAAACCAAATTAGCTGTGGTGATAAGTTGAATGGCATAGCGCAGGCTCGTATCCGTGGCAATGCGCGTGAGTATGGTGAGGGCATCCGGGTGCATGATGCAGTCCTCCTCCTCGCAACGGATCTTCAGGATCTCCTTGACCTCCTTCTCCAAATAAGAAACTGTGCGAATGATGATCATGCGATCAAGTAGATCAATGGGGATGCCATGGGGGCTTCGGTAGTTGGTGCCCCTGATGCGAGTAATGCCGCGATTGGTCGCCATAACCACGACCGGGGCCATGTCCGATTCCAAGGCGCGATTCAAAAAGGAGAAGCACTCAATGTCCA